CACACAGACGACCCCGTAACAATATGCGCTTTGTACTGCTGTTACACAGCACAAAACGCATAAAAAATAATTGGCCAACGCACGGGCTGCCAATGCGAAGATGCGTTTTTTGAATAGTTCCCCGCAGTTTTTGTTGCTACTGGCACCGACTTCTTCTGCAAATGCTTCTAGCTAAACAAATTGAGACTGGCCACCAGAACTGTTAGAAAACACATCCTCAAAATTTTAGCTTTCTAGCTTCCCTGGCTTCTCAGTTAGTAACTTACTGGAAAAAAAATTTCATAGGCGCGTGCGTGTTTACCACGCATACCCGAGAGCTGGGTTTGAGCTGATTGAAACTTAGGTGGAAGGGGTATATCCTCTTAAAATTACAGTCCTTTAGCTTCTCAAGTACTCGAGTTGTCAACTTACCCGAAAAAAAATTTTGGCGTGCCCGTATGTGGGTATCACGCTCACTCGGGGGCTGGGTTTAAGCCCACTAATACCCACTTGGGCGGGGAACATCACCCTAAGATTTCACCCTTCTAGCTTGTCAAATCCCCGAGTCATGGACTTACCCGAAAAAAATTTTGGCGGGCTCGTACGCGGGCACCACGCAGGTAATGGCGCCCATTTTGGGGATTGGGGCCCGTACGTGCACGTAGATCGAGTTCCCAAAGTTCCAGCCCTGTAGCTTTTGTAGGTCTTGAGAAGAAAAACCATGACAGACGCACACACAGACAAACCCTTGTCAATATGCGTTTTCGGCATTGCATAGCTGCAAAAAAACGCACAAAAAGAAACGCCCAGTCCAGTCGAAACTTTTATTCCACTCCACAGCGCTGAACGAACACAAAGTGAACTAAGTTATACTCTTCAGATACTTTCTACTCTGATTTCACCTCGCAGATAGACCAGTCTTAATCGCTGAATGTAGTCAAAGGAAAGCAACAGTTCGATTATTTTTTTCTCTTGAAAAAACTTACCTTTCTTGACTTTTTTGGGGACATTTTCACGAGGTTTAGGCAACGTTGTTTCTTTCAAGGCACTATCGGCGGCTGATTGCTGAGCTTTTTTTATGGATGCTCCCTTCCCATAAAACACCTGAAAAGTTTCTCTACGCGTTACTGCAAGTTTTCGACAAAGTTCAAAAGTAAAGATTTGTTCTGAGGAATTCATGAGTT